AGTAAACGCTAGAGCATTCAGGAAGGTTCGAGAATATGACCCGTTAGTAGGGTCACGTGACCTCCGCTTTCGTAACAATATATATATGGTGCTGTAAATGTAATTAGGAAATTTTTGCTGATAACATAACTTACAAGTCTACCTTTTTATATGCTAGAATAATAGTTGAGGAATGTGCAACAATATGATCAGTTAATAAGCAGAATCTTTTCGTCTTCAAACTAGACACCTTTTAAAATGTATCAGGACTTAGCCATTAGTGCCTAAATTTTCAGTAACTGTTGTTGAGTATGTAATTATATTTTGCACTACTTGTAGCAACACTTTAATAGAGAAATTAGATACCAGACATAGGTAGTACCTGTCCAGCGCATAGTAACTGGATAAGAGATACACACATTATTTCACAGACTACTGGGTCAGTAAGTGCACACTGATTTAAATAATATCTATTCAGCACAATATATGATATAAAACACTGAGAATGAGAACTGTATTCTTTTACATCACCCACAGAAATCACAAATTTTAAGCTTCTGCGAGTAAATAAGACACCACTAAGAAGATGTATTTCTTACCAAACTTGAAATATAGTAAAATAAAGAGCAAAGCCACAAATAAAGAATGTTATATTTTCAGGTCAAACTGATTTCCCTTAGATAAATGGAATAGGTCTGTTTAATAACAAGAGGTTCTATAAGATATATATTACTAAATAATTCTGAGTTCTCTCACTTTGAATGAGTTTGAGACAAAGATGAGACACAATTGTACAAAAACCCAAATATTCTTCTATGCTCAAAAACAATCCAAATAATTTGCACCGAATGAAGAAAGCTGCTTTACTATATTGTTAATTCTTTTGTACAGCTTATGTTATATGTTTAATAAGGATTTGTTAATGTTACACTTACAGGTCAAACTTTAGGAGAGTATTGTTATTTACAAAGGAAAGACAAACTTCACTTATCAAACTTTGATCTTGAGAGAGAAAATTAAACAGTACATCCTAGTATTATATACCAAGTATCTAATAACACTATTATTAGGATGTGTCTGCTACTTATGTCACTGTTAGTCAATTCTATTAAAATATAAGGGAGGTCATAACCTATAGATATCGCCTGACCTACTATTAGATGACACTACTTTTGATATCATTATATAAATGCACTATTGTAGCAATACTAACCATGAGCAGAACAGATATTGTCTACTCAAGAATGACAAAGCAACAAAGGCAGCTAGAACAAAATGAATTCAATAACCTTCTGAACCATGTGTTGTGCAAAACCTGCACATTTATATATACGTGATAAATTTAGAATAACTATTACAATATTTCATGAAGATAGAAATGCATTGTGCATTCACATACCAAAAGAACAAAAAGGAGTGATTTTCCAAATTGTCCAAAATAAGAGAACTCTGTATGCTAGAGTAATATGGTAATTCTAACACTGCTTCTTTGTCTCTTTTCTAGTTTCCAGTATTCAAATCATCATCATTGTGATAGCTATAGTGTTAAAACTGGGGCTTTTAACCTGCATCATTAGTCATTATAAAATGGGAGCTCGGTCATGGAGTGAAAGACAGGGTCGACCACCTCCTCAGACATCTAGACGCCAAGCTTTTCTTCTGGCACCACTGCCTCATCAACAACAACTTTACCTATCTACACCACAACACTCGGTAAGCATGGCTTTTTCATCAGCCAAAAAAATTCTTCTGATTTATATTTTATTACATCTGGAAAAAATATCTGCAAATTTTATGGATATTTATAACACCAATGATCTATACTTTTTTTGTTTAACAAATAAAGTAATCAGAACCTTTCTAAAGCACTCTTTATCCTATTTCATCAGTTAAATATTAGACAGACAAATTAATTTAATGTCAACAATTGGAGAAGTTGGAAAGCATATAATTTGATTTGAGGTAGCCCTTATATGGTTATTTTTCCATCATCCTACAGAATAGCATTGATCATACATAATGTAATTGAATAGTAGCTTGGATTGTAAAGAATCAGGGTTAGGTAAAAGTGAATGGGGTAAGATGAAAAACTAATACCAGAAACAAACATTTATATTATGAATATAATTTGGGAACGAAATAAGCTAATTATCTTTAAGTTAAATAGAGGATTGATTTATTTGTGCTTTTGTTTTCAAGTATTTGTTGAAATATATAATTATTTTTTAGCAAAAAGAATGAATTGCTGTTATCTGATCATTGTGTAAATAGTTTGATATTTTGTAAAATATAGAAAATGTAATTAATTTCTATTATTACAGTATTTATTTATATGTATAAATCTACACTTGTTACTTTGAAGATTTATTTAAATTTAGATGTTTTATACAATAGTTAATATGCATAATTACTTTTTATAAGATAATTTCCCTGATTTGAAAACAGAAAATTTAAGTTGTTATTGAAGAAACTATAGTTTCAATATTTAAGAACTCTGCTTCAAATATATTGCCAAATTTTATTTTATTTTTAGAATATTATGCTTTGGATACATTTTTACAAATAATATTCATGATTTGGATATTGGAACTTTACAGAAGCTATCTTTAATATTAATTGAGATCAGTATATCCTGATTTTGATTTTAGGTGCTTTACACACAACATGGTATACAAAACAAGAGACAATTGGAGTTGACAATACAGCGAGAAAAACAGATTAGACAACAATCAGTTCAGACAGACTTAGCACTGAACCTTCCAGTTTCTCTTACTTTACCTGATGGTGAGGAATATCCTTATGGTAGCTCCAAGTTACTCCGCCTTCGAGATTCACAGCAGGAAAGTGAACTTCGTAGAGGCTGTGTACAACCACCTCCAAACAGGACAGTTATTCAAGAGGATGGTCTCCAAGCTTATCGTTCCAAGCCTAAGAGCCAAAATTTTAAATCGTCTACTCCAGCTAGTGTATTGCGAACTATAGATGAAAATCCCCTAGTCATACCCTTTCAGACTATCAAGAACAATGGCTGTACTAAAAGTCAGGCACTGCCCTCTTACCTCAGGTTACCAGAACCTACATGTGACAGAACCACAAACTTCAGATGTGACAACTCTAACAATGATGCAGGATATCGAGGGCAAGTGATCTTTGGAGCATCAGACTCCATCCAGATATAGAGACAGTACATGTAACCATGACCTTTGTAGGTTCACTGGGCAGTCAGGGAATAAAATAGTGTTTGACCCACATACTTACCTAAAAGAAATAAAGTCTTTCACTTGTCAATAGACGTCTTGTGATAACAATTCAGCTGGACCTCGCTAAAGGAGAGCGAGTTAAGGGTTGGGACATCCCTGCTCTTAGTGCCTCAAATTTTGTTGTTTGTGCTGCAGCAGCTGAAATGATGGATTTGAGGTTTTGTATGATTTATTTGTTTGTTTTGGCATCCAAGATGCTAATAGGTAAGACTCCAATTGTAATAAAAGTTAAAAATGTTTGTGTGTGTATATGTGGTTCGAAAGTGATATATTTGTGATGTGTAAGTATTAAATTTCTAATTATGATGATAATATAGTCATTGCGGAAAAATACAAATACTAATGAATATGTCTTTTTTTGTTGACAAAGGGGCAGAAAGGATCGTGTACCCATATACTTATCTAAAAGAAATAAAGTCTTTCACTTGTAAACAAATGTTTTTCTGATAACATTTCACTTGTACCTCACTAAAAGGAGAGTGAGTTAAGGGTTGGGACACCACTTTTTGTGTATCAAAGGAGAAGTAAAGGCAGAGCCTTGTTCAAACTGATAATTTTTGTTGGAAAAATAGGTGTTCATACCTTGAGAAAAAACTTTTCTCAGAAGATAAACTAGGTTCAGAGTTGTAGATAATTTTATCCATTATTGATCAACATGTAACCATGTTCAACTTTTCCAAGCAAGTTATTCTCTAATAACGTAAATAGATTTTAAGGCTTACAGTAATTGAGAAGTCTAACTCCTTTCTCTCTCTTTTACAAAACTCCTTTATCAGTGTAACATTAGCTTAAAAAAAAAGATATATGGTTTCTTAATCTTTCCATATTAATTGTTTCTTTTACAAAACATTAACATTTTTGTTATTTTTAGTAAGTGTAATTTAACATGTGAGCATATAATGCTTTTAATTTGAAATTTCTTCAAATCTTTTTTACACTTAGAAATATTTAAATAAAAATTTTGAATTCAATTATTTCAACATTTGATTTTGTTCTTCATTAATGATTAATGTTTTGTTTTATAGGAATTTGCATGAAATGATCAAAGATATTTTTAATAGTTTTTTTTTAAAACCCTTGGAAACCATTAAGGTATAGACAGAAAAACAACAACAAACATGAAGACTTACCATGATTTTTAGTCCAAGTCATGTCTAGGTATCAATAACTTGAAGTATTGATTTCTATATGTTTTTTTTAACATTTTTCAATCATTCACTTTCTGTTATGACTGAAGTGTATATCTTAAAATAATGTATATGTGAGAAAGAACAATATTAAAACTTCATGTGTTAATTATAACCTTTACAAGCAGATGAATTCACAAGACCCACAAGGAAAAAGTGTGCAATTTTACATTAATAATGAAAGACATGTTTGTGCCAATGATCTGTAGGGATGGAAACTCTCAGTGAAAAAAAAAAAGTAGGAAACATTAATAGAGTTAAAGTTAATACACTACTAAAAATTAATGGTGAAAAATGATTTATATAGAATTAGCATTAAAGATATTACTGTGGCTTGAAACTATTATTTGTGTTAAGTTTTGTTTTCTAAAGATAGAAAGGCTTAGTCCTTTTTAGAATCTTTTCATAAATCAATAATATCTTTCCTTTAAAAGTGTTGGTGATCATGTAATAAAGCTTATTTCTCATACTTGTATGCCAACTTACATTTGTATATGTTTTCTACCAGTTTTTCAAAGACAAACTGTGTAACAATAATTCTCTCCTAATGTACACATTAATTTTTTTCCAGAAGGACAATTAAGTGGTTCCTCTCTTGTAGTGCATGTACACCAAAGTAGGGTTATGAATCAATGGAGTTTTCAGACAGGTTATGAAATGATATCTTGCTGATGGTGCACATTCATGGAAACTGGGTAGTGAGTCAGTAATTATGAATATTATGGAGTGGTGCCTTCCCATTATTGTACATATATATATATACATAAATCATGGAATATCTCTTTTAGTTTCTTTGAGACTTTTTCTCGTCAATGTTAGGTAACACATAAATTCTCATAACACTTAACCACATAATACACTGTATGTGTGTGCTAGGATTAGTATATAGTGATTCTCTGTTTTCTTATGCTGCCCAGGTATTATTATATATAATATAATGGAAAATGTACCCACATCTTATGCAGCATTTATTTCACTGGCTTCATGGTCTTGCATGTGCATCATCAGCCATACAGGTCTACTGAATACAGGTGATCAGAAAAGGTACCCGTGCTATATGTAGCATTAAATGCCACTTTCATTTGGCAGTTAGAAAAGACTGCCAAACTGAAACCTTTTTCTTCAATTGCTCATATACCTGAATTCTTTTAGCACATTTCATTGTAAGTGGCTCAGCCAGATCTTCACAATTTGTGGTGTCAAAACATCAAACAGGCAGACAAATAATACTGCTTTAAATATTTACATATATATTTCTTCTCCAATATATAGCATTCCTGATAACCATTGTTCCATGATACTTATATGTCTAAGTGTAGAAATTAATAGCAGAATTATCAAAATACATCTGTAAAATGGTTAAAACCTGTATTTTAACACAAAAAAAAGCGTAGTAATGTAGAATTTTACATTACTTCCCACTTTATAAATGTTAAGGGATAACTTACTTATTCAAACAAATGACCAAATTTAAATTTTGCATTCTGTTATATACTTTTTCTAACACATTTGCATTGCGATATATCACTTACAAAAACTCTATTAAAGATGATACATGATGTTTTTGTTTTCTTTATACTATGTCAAGGAAGAAGCATCAGTAAATGTTTGTGTCAGTAAATGTATTTTTTTTCAAGCCCCATTTTGGCAGAGGTTTGATTTCAAGCTCACACACCACTGAAATGTTATATATTTTACATAATATCTTCTTTGTTTTTCATAAGGGTTCAAATGGATACACTAGAGCCATACTATAAGACCCCTTAAGTTTATTTTAAGACAATTTAACAGCTAGCAGACATTGTGTTGGTTGGTTGTTGATTTTCAAACAAAGTTACTCAGGATTATCTGCACTAGCCACCCCTAATTTTAATGTGATAGACTAGATGGTAGGCAGTTACTTAACATCACCCATTACCGACTCATGGGCTAATCTAAATCGAACAGTGGGATTTGACCATCACTCTTATAATGCACCCATTGCATCAAAGTGCATAGCATGTTTTTGTTTCTGTAAGGGAATGCAAACTATGGAACTTCAGATCCACACTGAACATTAGACTACACACTCCCCTCAGATGCATTAGCTAGTTACTGGCCAATGAAAACATAGTTCATTTTTCTGAGTAGAATCTTAGCTTGAACGAAGGTAACAATTCATTTAATTGATCCAGCTAAGAGATCACAAGCCCACTAGGAAACCTTTGAAATGTAGAAAAAAATAAGTTGGTATCCCAACCTTTACTTTCTTCATGTAGTCTATAAAAGCCTTTAATTTGACATGTTGGGCCTTTATTTTGTAAAATTGAAGAGTTCTTTGCCACAAAAATATCGACTGTCAGCAGGACATATAAACATTTGTGTTACATATATTAATATAATACTTATTTTTAGTTTGATAAAGGTATGTGTTTTTGTTTTTTTAAGTCATACATTGCTTTTACATTCATGTCATTTGAAATAGTTTTAGGATTTTTTTCAGCCATCTGTGGACTGACTCAATAGCCTTGTCTTTCCATCTACCCAACAAAATGAAATAAAAGTATGTTTTAAGTATGGTGGTGAGGAAAACAACCTGACAGAAACAGCTTTAAAAATATTTTAAATTGAAAAGTTTTGGGAACAGTTTGGAATAGGTACTTGCAGTTTACTATAATTTATCATTAAGTTGTCTTCTATAGGAAAGTAAATATAAAATATATATCTATAATAAATAACATTTCAAGCATAAAATTAAAATAAAAACATTTACAAATAGGTATATGCACTGTTAACTATTTTCTCTATTGATAATATGAAATTTGACAAAACACTAGTGAAAAATAACCTGTATCTGTGTATTTCAACCTGTATTTTCATACTTTATAACCATAATTGTGAAAATTAAAAACAAATAATCGACTATACGGGCCTGGATGAACAACGTTATTGGTTCTGCTGAGTGAAATCTCAGATTGAACAAAGATTCCTGCTTAGTTACCTGGAACTTTTTCTAAGCCTCAACTCCTTCAGAGAAGTCTATTTGTTAATAAATATTGGAATGTAACAAAAACCAAAGTGAACTTCCATGAAGGAGTTTATAAAATCCCATGTACTGTCATTATAAATTTGTATTTTAATACATTTATCTAGAATAGATGATTAATCTCAATAACAAGGAATCCTCTGATTCTTCGTGTACTTCTTAAAACAATGTTTTTCGTAAAGAATGTAATTACTATGTATACTGATCCTTCAGTTCCATTTAAGAAATATATGAGCACTAAATAAAAACAAATAAATAGTATAAATGCAACATCATACAATAGATGTGCAAAGTATATGTTTAGCATCCTGAATTGTTTGGTATAGTTTCTGTAATTTCACTTGGTCAGTGAGGATTTAATCAAATTCATGTGGTAGGTCTAAATATGGTACCAGTTTATCAGGTCACAAAATTCACATATTCAGTTAGCTCTTTTTCAAAGAATTAACTTGGATAATATCAAACTAAGTGATGGCTTCAAAGTCACTGAGCTTTGGCTGAAATGTATAAGCTGTTAATCTACTTACTACATCTGTGAAATTATTTCTCTATCCAGCTGCATGCACTGATCCTCATATCAACACAATCCATGAGACAATTTCATTCCAGCTGCAGGTACTGATCACCGAACCAACACAGCACAGGAGGCAGTCTAGTCATAGTTACAGGTCTAAACACTATACCAACTGAGCCCATGAGGCAATCCTACCCCAACTAAAGCCACTTATCATCATACCAAGAAACTGAGCCCATGAGGCAGTCTTGTTTCAATTGAAGGTACTAATCACCATATCAACACAGCCCATAAGATGGTCTTGCCCCAACAATAGACACTAATCACTATACCAACACAGCTCATAAGTGATCACATTCCAGAGGCAAGTACTGGTCGTGATCACATGACAACACAGTCCACTAGCATGTTTTAAATGTGATTTTAGGTCTGAGTAGTAGTAGTAATGTTAAATAGAATTTCTCTATTCTGAGAATGATCTTCATTTGACTGTATAAATTTGATCCTCACTACAGTTGTGTTGTTACACGATATTGAGGATAATAGGAGTGCTTTTCTAATGATGTTATTTTTATGTTCAAAATAGTTGTAATGTTACATCCCAGTTGTAGAATAATAGTCTATTTTAATATGTGCAATCCTGTTGTACAGTGTACATGTACTTGTAATATTATATAACACCATACCTACCACTGGTTTGAAAAATTCCTTTTAACATATTGTAGCCCTGGTGTATGGTGTACATATAGTTGTGATATAACACAACCTACTGATGCGAAAAATCCCTAACCTATTGTAGCCCTGATGTATTGTTATATATAGTTGTGATATAACACAGCCAACTGATGTGAAAAATCCCTAACATAATGTAGCCCTGATGTACAGTATACAGTATACTAAATAATTGTTTGCTATTATTTAGAAGAATCCTGTTCATCATGTATCATTCTTGATTTCAATAGTTTACTTATTACATAACAAAACAGCTCAATAAGTTACAAAAATAACCTTAAGGATGCATTAATCTCATGCATAACTGGACTTTCAAAAATCATAACTAAAATTGTTTTCAATAAAGCCTCACTTAAGGTAATAGGATATTTCCCCTGAGAGTGATTTTCCCTCGTTTTTTTTTGTATGATAATATAAACAGTTGTTGAATAAAGGTGCTTAGATGCTCACTTTTAAAATATATATATAATTGTATTCTATGCTGTTTCAAATATAAACAAAATAAAAAGTTGGTGTTATTTGCCGAGTTCATTAAGAGAAATGGTTAAATATGTTAAAAAATTTACCATTATGCTTAACCTTATTAATCATAAGTACAGTGAAAAGTATCAAACAAATGTGGGAGAAAGTTCTTTTGAATATTATTTTACATTGTTTTTTTGATGAATAAAAATTATCTATTCTTGCATGAAAAAGCATGATATGTTCCAGAAATATACTTTACTGTCTTGTTTTTTTTAATACAAATGTATTTTGAAATTATATTTACTCTCCAATTTAGCAGTTTAGTTAAGCAATGAAGATGTGCATAAAAAGTGATATGCTTAAACAGTGACACAAAGAACACCCACATTCACTACAACTTCAAAAGTTAACAATCCATTTGACAATCAGTAGCACACATGAAGTATTTGAATATGATTCCTGTGGTGATGCAAATCCACCTCTCCTGAACTGATGTTGATTTCTGATTTTGTTTGAATATGATTCCTGTGGTGAGGCATGTCCACTTCCCCTGATGTTGATTTCTGATTTTGTGTGAATATGATTCCTGTGGTGAGGCATGTCCACTTCCCCCAATGTTGTTTTATGATTTTGTGTGAATATGATTCCTGTGGCGATGCCAGTCCACTTCTCCTGAACTGATGTTGATTTCTGATTTTGTTTGAATATGATTCCTGTAGTGAGGCATGTTCATCTGTACTGAACTGATGTTGATTTCTGATTTTGTTTGAATATGATTCCTGTAGTGAGGCATGTTCATCTGTACTGAACTGATGTTGATTTCTGATTTTGTTTGAATATGGTACCTGTGGTGATGGAAGTCTACCTCTCCTGATGTTGATTTCTGATTTTGTTTGAATATGATTCCTGTGGTGAGGTGCAAATCCTCCTTTCCTAACTGATGTTTATTTCTGATATCATGACATTTAATAGAATGAGTCTGATAGCTTGTATTACTAAAAATGAATTAAATGTTGTGGTTTTGACATGTAACTATTTTCAGTAAGGACACTTATTAGCTTTCACTGTAGGTCAGTTGAAATTTACACACTCACACCTAAGTTTGAATGCTTAAATTTTCATATTTAGATTGTAAATAAAACTTTTCTTCATTCACGTAAAAACATTCAACTGCAACTCTACTATCCACATCCTGGTTTCTTTCAATGATTTATGTTTCATATGAATTAATGCATTTCTTCCATAAAACAATACATACTCTGTATTGAAATACTACACAACTTATAGAATATGAAAAACTTGTTTGATGCGTTTCACACTTCAGGCTCCCACTGGCACAGCAGTAATTCTGCAGACTTATAACACTAGAAATCGGATTTCAATACCTGTGGTGGGCACAGCACAGTTAGCCTGTTGTCTAGCTTTGTGCTTAACTATAAATAAATAAAAAATGCACACCACATTTTGCATATAACCATAATAATGCTTTAACTTTTACACCAAAATTGCTTGAATAATGTTATTTCAAATGTTTTCATTGTTGCATAATTTGAATATAAATATTTTTCATCAAACTATGATTATCTATTAGACACCTTAGGTAAAGATGTCATTTTGATATGCACATAAAACAAAATAATTTTTGGATGGTAAAAGTTTGTTTAGTAGTAGTTAACAAATTCAGTTCCTTTTGCAGTTTCTGAAAGAAGTAACAAACTTAGCTTTTTTCTATTGTATGGGTAAATATGTTATAACACAGACAAACCTGAACACTGCATTAGTTATTTATACAGATATCTCTGTATTCAGATCATTATTAAAGGCCAGCTCAAAACAACTCGTCACTACAAGAAAAATTAAATTTATCATCCTCACATTCTAAATTCTTAATCCAGTACAGTTCAGTACTATCCCTTTCTCTCTCTCTCTCTCTTTTTAAGTTCATTAAGACTTGTTGAACTTGAAAATATAAACTGTTTTGGTTTCAGTGAACATATAAAGTTAATTGAAAGTTTCTGAGAAGGCTGGATGTAAATTTTTATGATCATATATGAGAGTTTGAAGTTGTGGCATGAAGCTATTGGCTAGTGTAAAATTATTATACGTCTTCTGTATTATTGTATGAGACAAATCATTGCCACCAGGTACTTTAATGACAAGAAATAAACAAAGAGCTTATTGTGACAATAAATAAAATATATGCTACCCTTTAAAATCTATAATTCCATTTGAATATATATTGGTCTGTACAGTTTAGCTGGCCCTGTCTTTATTAAACCTTAACACTTAATGTAAAAGATAGAATCTGTTACTAGGTGAGGAAGATATGTATCCACATCATTATTATACCCCGGTGCATGATATATCAATACACTCTACCTGTTGCTTTGTCAATAAACTGTTATCAGGTGACTGTTAACACCCACTAACACTTAACACATCAGGAAACAATATCTACTATCACATTTGTTGAACACAACACGTTAAAACAGTCTGTAGCTGTTTTAAGTAAATCTGTTATACAATCACGAAACCCCAACAAACCAGTATATTGTAGATACTATAAATTAACAAAATTAACGCTTTTAGAGAGTAACTTTATAGTACAGAATGAAGATAATTAAAGATTCGCATCAGGTAATTACTAAACTGCATATTATGTATATTTTAGTCATAAATATTAATATCGCTGTTTTCACTAATATAATAAGTTGAGCATGCAATGCTTTCATTACAGGTTTATGATGAGGTACCTGAAGTGTTGAGCAGAAGTTCACAATTAAAATATGTTCATTGTAAAGATATTTTACATGGGTACATTATGCTGAAGCTTTAGAGAAACAAAGCAGAGGTCTTTAGGCCTTGGTGAAAAAAATGGTCATACGAATAAAGACATTATTTTAAAACTTGGTTCATATTTGTTGTATCACTTTCACACTTGAACAGTTAATGCAGGTGAAGTTTGAATACTCCAATTAAACATGCTAAAGGAGAATGAAAAAAAATTACTTTCTAGTGTAATAGCTACAGAATTCTAAGTTCCTATTATAAGCCTCTTATAATCATAATAAGTATCCTTTTGTTTTTTATTCCTGTAAACTCCCAGTGGAGCATAGGGCCGTAACAACACCTCGCCAACGGAAGTTGTTGTTGCAGTTAATAAGTATCCTAAGTTTGCACATTTTGCTAAGAACTTAGTATTACAGCCACAGTATTCTGAGTTTATACAGTTTGCTACGTACTTAGTATTATAACCACAGTATGCTAAGCTTGCAGTTTGTTACTTACTTAGTATTATAGCCAAAGTATCCTAAGTTTACAGTTTACTACTTACTTAGTATTATAGCCACAATATCCTAATTTTGTAGTTTGCTACTTACTTAATATTATAGCCAAAGTATCCTAAGTTTACAATTTGCTACTTACTTAGTATTGTTACGTCTCTGTGTTCATTTGTTAATTTTCCGTAGAAATTCTTTCCGAAGAACTTCAACGATACAAGTCCTTTCTTAAATAAAAGTAGTTTATTCTTTCTCAATTCAACT